GAAACTATGGTTGAGTCTGTCCATGTGTTGTGAGATTAAGGAGTTTTCATTGTGTCTTCTGCAAGCAAACAACCAAGCTGAGAGAGCGCCAAGGTCTGCACAACTGAAACCATCTCAGATATAGTTTTAGATATAAATGGTTTTTGGTATAGCAGTGATAGTTAAATAACTTGTTGAAATACAATACAAAGTTTTGCATACTGCACAATCAAATCAGAAGTCAGTGCATGGAATTGTATGAATTAACCAAACCATCTTGGTGATAGGAAATTAATTTAGGTGCTACAGAGCGGCAACTGCAATAGCGAACAAATTATAATTGTATTTTCAGGAAACATTAAAAAAAAGTCTCACATTTCATTAAGCAAAAGTAATGTAATTCCTATTCTTTGTAAGGTTTTAATAATGACTGAAACAAAATATAAGAAAGGAAAAGTAACTATGATAATGAAATCAGAGAATGGAGAAGAGATACCCAGAATTTGAAATGGTTATCTTTTCATAGTGTTTCCAAATTACGTTACATTGTGTTGCATTATACCAAGGAGAATAGCTGATCCTTGTGAATCTCATTTCACAGGAACATCATTAAATATGGGAAAGGAGAGCAGCTGAACTCAACTGTCTCTTTGCAGAACTACTGATGACCTTAAATTATTAAATTCATAATAAGCAGGGTATGTGTACGCACAAGTGCATACTTCTATTTAAATTTCCATTTGTTCTGGGATTCCTAATACATGAAGGTTAGACTTCCATGCATGTAGAATAGGGATAATGGAAGCCATTTAAGTATTATTGAGATCCTTTATTCTGGAGATAAGCCTTCAGAAAAGATGCAGCACCAGAATGAAGTGAATATAATAAGAGAGCAAAAGCTTGTTGGTGCACAGAAATGTACTGTGCATCTGTGGGGTTACTTGCAAGATGCACAAATTATCCTGCTAATTCTGATTCACTGGGCACATAGGCAGAAAACAGAATTCACAAAACGCAGGGAACGTTAGGAGTATGGCTTATGGATCTGGTCTCCCCCTTCTTCTCAATATATCTTTGTTTATATCTGTGTGCAAGGTGTTTGTGTGGCACAGGAGTGAGCTAATCAGATGGTGCAGCCAATGACAGCACTGCGGTAGTGAAAAGGCTATACCCTTGGAGTTGCACTGCCTACTATCTATGCACCCCTAGGACAGTATCTCATTGGGCCAGCTCCCTGCTCTGTTACACAAAGCTGTTTTGAATGCCTGCACTTGCTGGCTGATCAGCAGCTTTCCTTTATGAGGAAGCTGTGAGGGCCTGATAATGAGGTTTCATCTTAGTGCTCATTGTGCAGCTACCTGAAGTCAACAACATCAAGAGAATAGCCCTCTACCTCAATTTGCGTAGTGTTATCGTGCGTGTCATCAAGAAGTAGATCTGTAAAACCTCCAGGTTCTGAGGAGTCCTGTCCTACGCTGGCTCTGTTGGTGTCCACTGATTTGAGCAACTCCGAATGTCGTTTCCATCTGTGGCTATATCTGTAGGAGTCCATTTGCACATTTTCTTCCACTCGAGGGAAGCTCTGAATCATTTCATAAAATGCACCTATCAGATAAAGAGATAAGATAGGATTCTTAATGAAGATAAAGAAAGGAATTCAGAGTTATTTTGTTTTTCTTATTTACCAGTGGGAGCCTAGAGTAAAATAGGGCAATGCTTATGCTAAGGCTTTCAGGAAGCCACTCATGGTGTCTTCCAGAATATGCTATTCCATTCATCTTCTCTCTCCAGTTTTCCATTCCCTCCCTACTCCCCCCCACATTTACCATTTCACAAGCATCAATCTTCATTTTCCTGCCTGTGGGGGATATCCAGTGGGTGAGAATATGCTGCACTTCAGATCTGAAGCTGAACAGGTGACCTGAAGTGGAGATGTGTCCGCATCTCCCCAAAGAATCTGATGAAAATATATGGTGGAGCTTTGGAAGGGGCAGGGCATGCTACTGGCACCTCCTTAACTGAAACATATCTTTTCCTGCAGTCGTTTTGCAATTCCTCCAAAAGACTCAGCTTGTTTTAGTGGATTTCAACAGTCCCCCTCTGTTCAATACAACACATCCAACACCCAAGCCTCTGAATAATGGCATGTTGGCTATTTACTCTAAGGTACTTATACAATTCTAGAAGAATCCCTGATCTTTAAAACAAGAATGGCCAACCTTTTGGCCTTGGGGCCTTAAAGACCAATGGCCAATAACACTATAATATCACCAAAATGGGGAGAGTTGAAATTTTCACAATGTTTTTTTTTTCTTTTTAAAGACTGTGAAGGGGTTAAGGGGCAGCCTTGAAGAATCTTAAGGAATTTTTTTGTCCGTAAAACCATCCACAAATCGGAACAAATCTACTTAGGATGGGGACAATTTCAGGGTTTTCAAGGGGTTCCATGAATGAATTAAACCTCTGCAAGGCTTAAGGCATCCATTCTGATTTTTAGCCTCATCCCCGCCCCCCACCTCAAGAAAAAATGGTCCAAAATTTCAAAATATCTGCACGTGGAAAGGAACTTGGGGTGTAGACTACAGACTTGTCTTCTCCAATCCAGATCTCCCCAAATTGACAGGCAATGGTTTCAGAGAGAATGTAACATGTTTAGCTAAATATGATCACAGTTTTCCTGCAGATTTTCCCTAGGGAATCCAGCAACAAGGAGTTAGAGCATAATGCTGGCTGGAGTTGAAGTCCACACATCTTAGAGTTGCCAAGGTTGAGGAACACTGGAATAAGCCCTGGTTCCTCTCTGTTTAGCATGTGAATAGCCCAAACAGAACTAAACACCATGGTGCGTATACATATGCTGTACACCAACAAACATACACATTGTATCACATTTCCTAGGTCACACTGCCTTCCTGGAGAAGACAGGTTTACCACTGTTATTCCTGACTATCACCTCCAGGCTCAAACTTAAATGAACTTGGTCATAGTTATCCCAAGGTGGGCTGAACTTTCTCAGTAGCTATGCAATTTTGACTGATAGTCTAATGGATGGACTGGAGTAATAAAAATGTACCACATTTCATTGTAGATCCAATCTACCATTAAACTTTGGGACAAAGGTCAAATTAAAGTTAATAACGAAAAAAAAAAACTTTCAGAGCAATTCCTGTCAGAAATATTTAATCAAAAGAAAACAAAGCCAAGCTGAAATAAAAGAAATACTCAACAGTTGTTGCAGATAAGGGTGCAAGACCTGGATGCGTTACTGGCAGTTCTACAAACTGGGTGTACAGGTAGTCCCCGGGTTAAGAATGCCTGGTTTAAGGACAACCCGTAGTTAAGAACAGATCCTACTATACCAAATTTGAGTTAAATACACAATGATTTGAGTTAAATATACAATGGTTTGAATTCATTACACAATACTATTTATACAGTATTATACAATAATATTGTTCTGGCTTACATACAAATTTGACTTAAGGGCAGACCTTGGGAACGGAACTCATTCTTAAACTGGGGGCTACCTGTATAAGATAATGCACAAGCAAATCCACTGAGCATTCAACAGCCAACAATTCATATTTGGATTATATACTTTAAAAAGATATTTCCATTTTGGCATGAAAATAATATTGTTCTGGCTTACATACAAATTTGACTTAAGGGCAGACCTTGGGAACGGAACTCATTCTTAAACTGGGGGCTACCTGTATAAGATAATGCACAAGCAAATCCACTGAGCATTCAACAGCCAACAATTCATATTTGCATTATATACTTTAAAAAGATATTTCCATTTTGGCATGAAAATGACAACATACCAATAATTTCAAAATATTTAACTGCAAGAAGGCTTTGCACATAATTTGGACTACTGATGCAGGAAAAGTGTATCTGCCTTTGTGTGCAAGTAATCTCTACAGTTTGTGGGAAGAGGGATCTCCCCCTGAAATAAAGGGACAGACTTTGCATATCCCCCTTGCTCCCTTTCTTCGAAGCAAATGCAGCAAATGACCTTTCCTGTTGGAAAGACCTCAGGCTTGTAGGGAAATTAACAAAGAACCTGACAAAGTTAATAGAGAAGATCTTCAAGTCCAGCACTCAATTAGCACTGCAATGTCATTCAATTTCTTTGGAAACAGCTAAGAAGACATTAACAAATAGTTTGGTCATGAGGGAAATACACTGATTAATTAAAACTTGCCTAGCATCTTACGTGGACAGAGCCAGTGCTATTATAATGCTCCAAGTAGACTGTTTAGAAGCACTGGGCCAAATGTGTGCAGCTTTAGCTGTTCGTAACTCTTCCACCACCACACATGTGGAAACACACCATGAAGTTTTGTACAGCAAAGATATCAAGGCACTGTTTTGGGAAGAAGAAAGATTAGCAACAAGGGGGTACATAATGAACGTGTAATTAAGCCTGCGTTTTGCTCTAATGATTTCAGCAGTTGCCCTTGAGAGGTTTGCATGAAATTAAGAGAGAAAATGATTAGGTGGCAATTTTATTCCCCGCTTAGGTTGAATTTGAATTAAGATTGAAGTACTGCATCAGAGAAAGGGAAAGGGAATGAGCAAAGTGGCAGCCCTGACCACTTCTTACTATTCTGAGACCAGTCAGAAGTAATGAATGGGCTGTTGGAGGTATTCTGTACCACTTTTGACTGCTGTTGACCAACCCGGCTCTTCCCAGTCAATGCGATCAATAAGAAGCACTATAGCAAGAATGCCCGTATTATAATTCACCCAGTCCAGGCAGGATTGAAAAGAATATTTTAACAGAGGGGCTGAGGTGAATAGAAAGAAACTGCTATTAAAAAATATAATTGCTGCTGGCAAGGCCTCATTCTGCCTCAAAGGCATTTGCGCTGAATCACTTCCCGCAAAAACTAAAATAGAAATAGAAAACACACAGGGTTGGAGAAAGTGAAAGAAGCTTTAACTAGAAAAGAGATGATTAATTTGTTTTCCAGAGTCATCTTGCCAAAGCCTGCGTCTAGTCTGCTTAGTTACTATTAATTATTGTGCTTTTTAAATTTTTTTAAAAATATTAATTTTAAAATTTAAAAATTACCTCTTGCTGCTCACCTTATCCTGTTGTTAGAGTCTGGTTTCTTATTGTCTTTCTGTTACTCTGCACTGGATTTATACCACATTTCTAAACTATGTTTTAATTGATTGTTCATCAGCCAGAGAACTCCTGTTGTTGGATGGCATAAAAACACATTAAATAATGCTAAGTATAGTTTACATTTAGATGGGCTTAAAACTAATTTTTTCTCCTCTATTTAGGGGCCAAGATGAGAGAGGAGGAATAATTGGTCAGTCCTCACATAAACAGTGGGATCTCTCAAGGATCTCTCTTTTTAATTTGTTCATGAATAATCTGGAGGTAGAGTGAGCAGTTAATGACACAATATTATTTAGAGTGATTAAAACAAAAAAGGGGAAGCAAAGAACTTCAAAAAGATTTTTACAAATGGATCAATGGGCACTAAATTGGCAAGGATGGTTCAGTGTAAAGGCAGAATTTGTGTGTTGGAACAAGTCCTATGTACACATATACAAGGACGGACTCAACGTGGTAATGACTAGTGAATAGTCAAGCATCTGCAGAACGTGCAACTACACATTCACAAGCTGAATTTCCTTAGAAAAGGAGGCAAAAATAATGCAATCTAAACCATAATGATTTTATAGAAATTGGCTGTATGGTAAAACAGGCTTGGAATATTGCATTCTGGTTTCTACTTCTCAAAAAAAGTATTGTAGAACTTGAAAAGGTTCAAAAAAGCAGGAAAAACAATCAAGGTCAGGACCAGCTGCTCTGCAGGAGAAAGTTACAACCCTTGAGGTTTTAAATGTAGGTTACAAAACGGCATATAAGAATGAATGCAACAGGTGTACCAATGTAGGCACGATGTGAAGAAAGTTCTTCATTATGCAAAATACCTGGAATACACAGTATTCTGTACCGTGTACAGAATGTGGAATATTCCAGTACTGTAAAGTGCGTGTGTGTTTGTGTGTGAGAAAGAGTGAGTCAGAGAAAAAGAGAGAATATAGAAGGTGTGTGTTGGTTAAAATTTAGGCTTATTAGCATGCTTCTTTTCAGAAGTGTTCTTGCTACCCACTAGAACAGAGACCTAGGAGGGAACTGCCAAGATTTCCTTTGAGGAAATCCATCAGTGACCGTAAAAGCAGGGAGAGGGTGCTTACTGTCAAGAATGACCATCCACTACCCAAGTGGAACTCATCCTGCAAGAGTCAATAATCTCTCCTGGTTTTCTCTGACACCTGTAGAATTAATCACAAAAGGGATAAAGGGCAAACAGCATCGCTGCGGAAAAGATAAAACCTACTCCAAATCAAGCTTCCTGGATGCATTCATAAACTTTTCTCAGCAACGATATGAAAACGGTTTGTCTTCTTCTAGGATGTTTTTCAATTTCTCCGTCTAGTTTACTGCCCTGGTGGCTTTCCATTTAAGTACTACGCAGGCCCAACCCACGTGCTGGAAAAGGCCAGCCACGTGCTGTTTCCTGTTGAGATAGGAACGCCGAAAGCGATATTTAGTTTTTGAAATCCAATAATCTGAT